GGCCCGAATGCACAAGTCTCATTTAGCTAACGGTCCTTTAAGGAGAAAACAGACCGTTTGTTAAAAGCCTCTTTATCTTGGAATGCGCAAACCTCCTTTAACCTTCCGCTAGCTAACGGTCCTTTAACTAAAGGGGCTTTCAGAAAGTGGTGTGGAAAGGCACGTTCTGGCATCACTGTGGATACTCCTCTAGCGTATTTCTTCGTTTAAAGGCCTAATTTGACGGGAAATGAGTCAATACCACGTGGAGTGAACACGGATGGGTGAAGTTGATTCAGCGTAAGTGGGCTGAAGTGGTAAAACGTGCGTCTCGGCGGAAAAGCGAAGTGAGGATGTTTTCATTTTCCCAAGTTATTACTTGCTTCCCGACGGAAAACAAAACCTGGAGAACTGGCTCAGTTATGGATCAGTCATACGGTCAGTCACAGAGTACCATAACACTGAGGTTACCTCCCTTCGCTATTTCGTAGTCATCCAACTTTTCAGCAAGCAAAAGCCGTCATGTCGATGACTTGCATTATCAGGGGAAGGGATGGGAGGAAAGTGAAGCCTGCGGGATGCGAGATGCGGCATTCCTCGGGATCGGCCCACAAACTTGTCTACACTGCCATGAGAAGCGTCTTTCTCGTTTTGTTCAACTATTGATCCGTCAAATGCAAGTGCTGGAAGGTAACTTTTTGGCGGTGACTGGCACCCCGACGCAGACTCCATGCTGCACGTGAGCAATGAGTCAACTGCGGACAAACGAAATGAAAAGAGAATAGAAAAAGGGACAAACCAGCCACAATATCTGCCATTTTTCCATTGGTCACTTTTGAAATGGCAGGTAAAAATCAGGGCTTGTATCTTGTTTACACCCAGACATACATCTTCAAGTTCGATCATCTCACTTGAACTCTTCCTCTTTATAAGAATCATTCCGCAGGCCTTCTAGGTCAGTCGCGACTGTCTCTTTGCGCTGGCTTCATCTAGTTTTGCTTCATCTAGTTCATAAGACCATGAGTTCCAAGAAGCGGGCGCTGAACTTCGACTCTGTTGAAAGAGATGCCTTGCGCCAGTGTGTCAAGGCTCACGAAATGATATTAGAAAACAAGAAAACGGACACCACAAGCAACAAGATGAAGATCGCTGCATGGGAGGATATTGTTCCTAAGATGAAAGCCATCACTGGAAAGGATCGATCATCTGGACAGCTGAAAGGCCTCTGGGAGAGAATGAAGACAGAAGCGAGGAAGAAAGTTGATCAACACAAAAAACAGGTGAATACAAACGTAGTTCTCAATTTTTGATGATCGTTACTATCCTTTTAATCCATCCCCATAAGAAAAACAACAGTGATCAATACAGATTGAATATTAGAAGCGGATCAAAATTCAACAAAAGTAAGAACTGAAAAAAAATTGGTTTCCTTTCCATCTGATTTCAGATGCGCCTGACGGGTGGCGGCGAACATCCCCCTTCACCTTCTGATGACGATTACCGAGTGGGAGACTACGTTGGTGTCATCGCGAAACAGATGAACAATCTCTTCGACAGTGATGCGGGAGATAATGAACCTCAAGCAGGGGCAACATCAGGAATATCGACACCAAGACCAGCGACGCTTGCGGCAAGCAGTGAAGTGTATGCCACGTCCCGCGACAGGAATCAGTCATCTGTTCAGGAGCAGAGGGGGAAGAGGCCACGTGCTTCAACCTCTCTGATATCTTGTGAGCTGCTTCTCATGGAGCAGGCAGCTGAAAAACACCAGATTGAAGTGGATATTCTGAATCTCAAGAAAGAAGTCCTGCAGCTGAAAAAAAAGAAATTGGAAGCACAACTGAAAATCATGGAGAAAAAAGAAGTGGAAAATGCCCAAATTCCAAGGACGGATCCAGCTCTGACTCAAAATCCCATTCAGTGGCAACTGCAGCAGCTGTAGAAATCGGTATCTACTACGAACCATCGCTTAAAATTTTGTTTAAATGAAAAAAAGTCAGTTCAGAAGACGCTGTCATAATGTTGATTTGATTCGCTGAACTGCAGCATCTGCAACTAGCAATGTCTCACCTCTTCATCATCATCTGACTCATACTGAAAGCTCTTGGTCAGCGCTGCGCGAATACCCTCTCCTCGTAGGTTCAGTTCTCGCTGAGGCCTCGGATGAACTTCGGGCCAGAATCTTTGTCGCATTTCCTCGAATTCTTCAGCGGTCACTTCAGGATTACCATCACCTCTTTCTATACCAATATTGTGAAGCACAGCGAGTGCTACGATGATGATGAGGAGATTCTCGAGGCGGCTTCGATTCAGTGATTTGATGCAGGAAAACTTTTGCTTCCAGCAACCGAATAACTGCTCGATGACAACTCTTGCCCGCTTCAAGCTGTGATTGAAGCGCCGCTCAGCGGCGTTAGAAGGGTTCCTGTAGACCGTCAGTAGATAGTTTCTCAAGTTGTATCCACTGTCTCCAACAAGGTAACTGTTGATCTCGGATTGAACCCTCTCTTCGAGGAGATCCCGTAGCTTACTATTGGAGAATATCCGGTTGTCGTGGACTGACCCTGGCCAACTGGCAACAATGTCGGTTATTCTCTGGTCTGCGGTGCACACTACTTGTACGTTCACGGAAAAATATCCTTTCCTGCATCGGAAGAGTTCGGCTTCCTTGCCTCCAGGGCTGTAGATTTCGATGTGAGTGCAATCAATGGCCCCGATGATGCCCGGAAGTCCCTGCTGTCGAGGAGACACCTTTGATAACTGGTAAAAACCAAATTTCACTTCAGCGTAATCTTCCAACGAAGGAAAGCGGATGAAATCCTTTCGCTTCCCTGCCAAAGCTCGGCTGACTTCCGCTACAATCCTGCAGATGTTACCTTGGTCACTGATGAGTCCGATGTTGTCACCCACAACCTGATGAAAGCTGTTTGTGGCGTAATACCTCAGGGTGATGAGGATTTTGTGCTCGGTACTGAAGTTTACTCTTCTTTCGTACTTACGCCCAATCTCGTTCTCAAGCAAATCAGCCAGGTAGTGTACAGAGTCCTTGGAGAACCGGAAACGTTTCAGAAACTGATAATCACTGTAGTAGAAGAAGGGATCTGTTCGTCGATTGAGGTTGTAACGCAAGAGAATTGTATGCTGTCTCCTTCTCCATTTGAAGAAACGTAGATTGTGCAGTGACAGCATGGTTTCTAGACAGCAAATGAACGATGATCCACAGAAGAAACGCCAGTTATGAAGGAAAAAATCCCCCGTTTACGAGATAAAGTAGGTCCTAGACCTCCTTTTTCTTTTTGCCAGGTAGAGAACTGTTTAACTGTCCGTTAAAGTTAGAGGAGGCTTGCGCATTCGAAGATAAAGGAGCTTTAAGTTAGAGGTAGGTTGTGCATTCGAAAAAGGGCTCTTTAGCTTAAACCTCGTTTAAGTTAACGGACGTTTTTGTTAAAGAGAGGATACGCATTCCCAAAAGAGCTCTTTAGCTTAAAGGTCCCTTTATCTCTCCTAAATGAGACATGTGCATTCGGGCCTATATCTTCTGTCTTTTTCATTAGTGGAAACTACAAAGATACATATTGGCAATGCGGATTAGGATGACCAAGCAGCTTTCTAATTTCGGCCAAGGAACCTAAAGACAAGACGGTGTACCTGTTAGCAGTCACCCGCTCGCGCTCGATGGGGGATGTCATCCATCGCCCGTGAGCCAGGGGAGGGCTCGACCTCCCAGACGGAAGGCCAGGTAGAGACGTTTCGGTTCGTGCAGTTTCTCCTATTCCAAAGCTCGCTTTCATCTCACAGCCTCATTCCAGTCCGCGCAGATCGGGATGGAACGACTCTCCGGTGCATGATCCCCGTGGAAGTTTTCAGCAGTTCACAACTAGGACCTGTGTCGTATCCGATGCTTTCACGAGTTCGTCATAAATATTTAAAAAAGGCTCTTCGCATTCTATGAAATCATCGATGACCTTTGTACGGGCTGATGTCGAAGGAAAAAAAGGCTAGCCTTAATTCTTCATCTTTTCCTTTGGGAACCCGATTTGCATCTACTTATTTTCAGAGGAATTTGATGGGAAAAATCTGTCGAAATAGATTTTCATACAGCTCTATAGAAATTCTGTAGAATTTCTTTTTAATGTCTTCGTAGAATTCTCTAGAAGTTTGGTAAGATTCTTGATAGGATTTCTATAGAATCTCCATAGAATTTCCATACAGCGATTTAATAGAATTCTGTAGAAAGAAATAACAAAATTATATACGACCTTATAAAATATTTTTGCCCGGGGAATTAGTCCTGAACTGCAACTGCGCAGGAATAAAGAGTCGCCAATATCGCGATCCGATTAGCTTTTAGGAATCGATGAATCGTGTAGTTCCCCCCCCCCCCCCCCCCCCCCCCCCCCCACCCACACGCCCCNAAAGTACAAAAGTTTGTTTTTCCCCCCCCCCCCCCCCCCCCGATTCGATTCGGGCAGGTCGATTTCGTAATCAATTGGCGAAGGCGGTAATCGGGATGAAATCAGCAAGGTCTCGCGCCACACGTCGAACAGAAATTGCAAAAGATTGTAAAACAGAAACGAATGCTGCCGGTTTCGAGCCAAGTCATGGCATTCGCCTCGCGGTAAGCCCACGCTTCTCTCTGAGGCGGCATGTTCTCATCGGTCCCCTCCCCCCCCCATCCCCACCGCCCCCCAACTTTCGACATCGGACGAAGCGACAAATCCTCTCACATGCGCTCCGATTTTTATCCTACGGCTGTCCAATGCAATAAGAAACTTTTTTTTTCGATTTCGTGAAATCCGCAAGCAGGCACATTTTTGCACGCATTCGGCAAAAAGTCGCGCGAATCAGGCATAAAAAATGCATTCAGTGTAGATGGAAGACAATTTTGAGCCATCGATTTCATCTCATCGTTCTCTCATCTTCCATCTCCAAGCGACCGGCGCGAGAAAGTTCAGGGACGAGGACTTTTGAAAAGTATTGGGGGGGGGGGGGCAAGTTCTTAATCCCCCTGAAGCAACAATGGACGCAATTATTCCAGGATCCATTGGGGTAGCTCAGTATTATTATGGTAGCATAGTGAGCGGGGGGGGGGGGGGGGGGGGAAGGGGGGAGCAGGGCCCTTCCACCCCATACCCTTACTGGGTGACACAGGGATCTCCCCCAGTTGGAGCTCAAAACAGAAAGGAAAATATTTTTCATTTCTTTCGTGAAGCAGCATTTTGTTTTCAATTTTCCATGTGCTATACTTCTGTTGAAATTTTGCCATTCTTGGGGGGCGTTGCCCCCTCAATAATATATTGATAGTTGGGGGGGGGGGGGCTTCTGGATTCTGTCGATCCTGGGGTTGTAGGTTCCCGCCCCGAGGTAGATGGAAGGTGTGAAAAACCTATCAAATTTGCCTGATCGCAATGAAAAGTATTTCATCGCGTAATAAAGGGATTGTGATTTTGATTGCGCTTTTCATGAGGCGAGGGATGTTCGTCACGAATCGGCCTCGGGTTCCTTGGATTTCCGTTGACGGATTAATTGATCCTTCGCGTCTCTTTTCGAGTGACGTCATTTGACCCCAAAGTTGAGAGAATGCATTGAGGTCCATATCCGATCCGTAGCGTTCGAGTTTTCCTGACTCGTCTCCCTCCCTTACCCTATTGGGATCGTTGTCTGATCCAAGGGAAACAACACGAGGGAGTTTCTCTCCCGTCGATCATTGGTCTGGCCTGATTTCTGACTCTGGGTCATTTGATTTTCCTCTAGCTCTCTTCTACTCTTCAAGGTCCATAACGCTGTAATGGTCGGCGACTGAATTCCCTCAGAGGGTGGGGGTTAAGTATGGTTAATAATTAATGAATATTTACTGTCAGGCCGTAATGTGCGATATCAAAACATCAATAACAACACTCGCATCAATAAACAGTAATCGTCTCGATAGTCATGGTATTAGGGAAACAGAGAGAGACACCCATAAGAGTTAGGAAAATTCGAAACGTAGCAAACGCGAACGTTACGGTACAATCTCATCCCGCACTTAACGTCCGTGGTTCTGTGCCAGACCTGCTACGTAGGAATTCTTTTGTCCTGTCAATTCGTGTGCATTCGTCATTGAGAGAATCCATTCCACGCTGCCTTTTTGTGCACGGATGCGGCCTTTTCACCATCAGCCACAAGGAAATTTGTCACTATCTCTCACGCGGTCATCGGCCATGATTGTTTTCTTCCATTCTGGTAAGGTTTGTCAACCTTCGAAATTTATGTAATATGTAGGCTAGCCATCTTCATAAAATAGCAAGATGCAGATTTTAGGTGCAAGAGTTCCAAGTATAAAAAATTAAAGTCCACGAACTTCCCTTCCCCCCGCCCCTTCAGAGTCACGCTGAAAGTTTCCGGATGCGGCCGTTTGGTGCCTCCTCTCAGGCTGAGAATTTTCTCCAATTTAGGACAATCAGTACAAGCCTATTCAAAAATTTTCAGAATTCATCGTTGCCTTGAACCAGAGTTATAATTTTTTTTATACTTCTCATGTTCAGGGATTCGTTGAATTTAAGATGATTTTATCACGTGAACATTTCCAAGCGATGATTTTCCACGACCTCAAAAGTGGACTCGGTTCAAAGGAGTCTTGAGCGCTTGCAACGGGCCTTTGGAGAGGAATCACCATCTCCCAGTTCCATAGTTGAGTGGTTCGCTGAGTTCAGGAGGGGAAGGGTCGGGAGAACTATTACAATTACTTACAATAACAATTACTACGCAATCATGACTGCTTTGGTTGGGTAATATGTGTTATGCAAGAAGGGCATAGGGGCCCTTGAGGTTCCTTTTCAGTAGACAACGAAGACTTCTGAAAATATGTCCTTTAGTCGTTAAGGATTGACAGCACTTTGCTTGGCCAAGCTGTCAACCCTTTACAACAGTAAAAGGACTGTTACACATATTTTCATAAGTTTTTGTCATTATTTATGATAGCATCTTTGGCACAATCATAAATCATCACAACAAGGGCAAACTCAGGAATAGTGGCCTTTTCTTGTGGAAATTCTCAGGTGGGTTCACAGGATGCTAAGGATGATGGCAGAGGAGTTGTAGGGGGAATGTGTTACAGCCTGTGATGTTTGTTCTCTCTCATTCTGCATTCAATCAAATGGGAGATGTTTGATTTCTTATGAAATGGAAACTCAACTACTTAAAAACAAAACCAGCCCATTTACATGCAAGTCAAGGTTTTTACTCGGGGTCAAAATCTTGAGTTATCCTTGAACAACAAACAAAGATGCAGACATGACTAGATGTGGTCTCTCTCTTTTTAAAGAAAAATGCAATGATCATCCAATACAGAATATTTCATTACTCATTTCATCTCACATACAATGTGTGCCATGCACTTCCATATGTGTAAAATTCACCCTCTCTTGAGCAGTTGAATAGAGCTCCAAAGCTAGAATGGAGGAGAATTAGGCACTTCTCCTCTGAAAAGACAGGTTGCCTTTCACCCCCCCCCACTTGGTTCAAATGCCACATTTCCTTGAGGAGTACTGCACCCATGGCACTGGAAAACCCATACACAGCAAGACTATCTTCAATCTGAACCTATTTATGCACTACAACACTAATATCATAAATCTTGCACTCTTTTTGCATCTATCAATCATTCACATTGCATGTAAGCTCAGATACACAGCACTTGCTTCATCACGGGCATCATTCCATAGGACATAACTGATATGAAAGGCATAAAGACAAGTAGGCCAACCTACAATCATGGCAGAGATTGTACTTCAGTGCCTTCTCTAAAGCATAATTCTGGACAGAAAAAAGGAAATTGAAATCAAGTAAAAAGCAAATGTCCCAGAAATGAGTCCAAGCAGAAGCAGCCACCACATAGGACCAAATCATGATGATGTAATAGGTGAGCTTATTCCTCATGATGATCTAATCTTAACTTGGGATGAGCCCAAGAGTCTGTTGTGATGCTATGCTAACCTATCGATTCTTGGCACAGAAAACAAGAAAAGAAAACTAGAAAAGGGGAGACCCTGTTAAGAGTTGTAGGATGGAAAATGGATAATGTCAAACTGTGGATGACCATGACCAGATTATATAGGTTTGTAGAGGAGAGTGGTAACATATTTCTTGCGATACCGATGAGTTGCACTGAGCACCATGACCCCATCTCTGATTGAGAGCGCATATAAATGGTTCAGCATCACGTGGTTCGGTTCTGGGAGAAGCGTTGGCTCGCACTGCAAGATGAAGATCAGTATTACAGACTAAAAAAGGATCAGGCATATTCAGTCAAAAGGGGTAAAGATAACACTAACTGAGAGTGGGGTATCCTTATTGAGGATAACTTGGAGTAGATGAGGTGGCAAAATTGGTGGTGAGGTCGGTTTCTCCCAAGGCTGATGGCTTGGTATATCCTGACTGTAGCGACCCGGAGGTGACCCTGACAATCCACTCCCTTTATGGGATAAGTAAATCAAATATTTAAATATTTACAAAAAAAGTACTGAATAGGATTTGCAGATCAAATGCAACTTAAATTTACCTGTGTTACTGGAGGAAACACTGTCAATGGCAAGGGCTTCAAACACCTCAAAGTCAGTCTTGCGCACTGTCATCACGTTGTTTTTTGTACCCATGTCATTCTCTAGGGTTGGCTATGAAAGTGATCCAGAAATGTGTCAATGGAAAACTAAGGCATATTCTACTGTCTGTAAGCCATTAACTATAAAAATTAAGGTTATCGTCACCAATGCAGGGACATAATTCCTTCATTGTGTGACTTGATGAGAGAAATATAAGATACATATAAACCAATTGATACTCACTTCACTTGTATCATGCTTCCATTCACCATCCACAAGGAACTTATATTGATGCTCCCCCTCTGCCAGATCCACAATGGTTACAAAGTCTCCATGACTAGAAAGAGTCAGAAAAAGAATGATTAAAAAAATGGATTATGTTTCTTCATAATACCTCATTTCATTAAAAAACATTGAGCTTCCCTGAGCTTCTTCAAGGAATAAAAATCTTTCTCTCCTTAAATAAATTCCTCTGAATTATTACATTCCATGTACTGTGACATCTATATTGTTGAAGAGCTAATTGTTCTCCTTGATTCAGTATACAAAATATGAGAATTGCAGGATCCTTTCTGAATTGCAGGGCAAGCAAGGAAGCATGGATGAGTCTCTTCCATCTGCTGCTTCTTAATTGCTCAATTTATTTTTGGAATGGTGTATCATATCTTCTTGGAAATTCCAACTTTCCATGGATAAAAAAAAAAGGCAATTAAGAACTCACTCAGACACACACAACCTAACCATCATCTCAATGTTGGGCAAAGCTCAAGTTGTTATTGATTTGATTCAGTCAGAGTTCTTACCAGATTAGGCAAATTCAATGATTTCATTCAATTTTTATGTAATATATTCCATAATTTATCTATTGGAATCACAATTTAATGATGATTGGGATCATGATCCCAATCATTATGTTCATAAATGATTGGAATTTGATTTATAAAAGTAACAGAAATACAGTAAACCCTCAATAAACTGCCACCCTTGCTCTTTCTCGAGAAAAATTTGCACTAAGCTTATAACAGGTGACCTTTCATTATAGTCCCATCCTCAGCCAACAACATTCTTTGTGTCTAGAGTACCAGCCCAGGTATAGATCTGCTAATCCACTGGTCCCTATACCACTGGAATTATCTTCTTTGCTGAATCCTAACCATCCAACTTTGAAATAAATAATGACTGACATCCTGACCCAGGATGAAAGCTGCACATGTGGAATGAGTTGCATTGTCCAGTGCTATGGATACTGCAGACAGATGGAATTTTAAAAAAATAAAAAGTGACAGACCAGCCACAAAAGGCAGAGGGGCACAAACCATGACAGATCTACCTGCACTCATTACAGGTGACACTAATTGGAAATTTATCATTCACCTGACTGATAACACACCTAGGTACATCTTCATATTTAAGTGGTGTGAATCAGGATTTATAACTCCTTACACTTTTCCACTGATCCAATGTTCCATAACAGAGTTCCTTACTCCACATAAGGTGGTGTCCAACATTGGTCTTATGAATTTGTGGCTTGGGTGAAGCTGCTTGACTATGATGTCCAAGCTCCTGAATATATTTTTGTATTTCATTCACAAAGGCAGACATTCCTGCAGCTTCTTGAAAAACCTATGTCTCTAAAGCTCACCAATCTATTCCTTCTTATTATCTGATTCAATATCCTCCTAGCCCTTCAAGAGATTTTCAGAGGTTTACCTGAAAGGGGAGCGATTATCGTAGCACTAGTTGACCAACTACCATTTCAGTACATACATACCATTGACTTTGAAATGCAAGTCAGCTCTGCAGATTCATGAATTCACTTCCCACTGATGTGGTACCAGCTGATCTATCCACATAAAAACCACAATGATACTTTGCAACTGTCTTGCAGTAGTTGCACAAGTTGTAAACCTAATGCAGTACATGATGTGCAATCACTTTACACACACTTTCCAATGTTATGTCATTCCTATATCAAAATGAATTAGACAAAGAACTTCTTCCATTTGAAAGAAGGGGTGTCCCAAAACTTGTTAGAGGCTAGTGGCTAAAATGGAAATTGATAACTAATACCTTTTGACCATGGGTATAGGTTTCCAATTTGTGAAGGTACCAGAGATATAGACCTCCTTTCCCCCTCCATCCCATTTGAACATGGTAGGCAAGAATTTCTCATGCTGAGAGTACTGGCTGCTTTGAGAAGTAAGGGTCGATGCTCTTGGTCGATGAACATGGTGGTGAGAGTGCGGATAGTCTCCCTAAAGATCCAGAAAAAGATTGGTATTCCTTTCAATTTAATTCAAAGGCATGTCAGACAAAAGGGGAAGGTCAGTTGTATCAGATAACTCACAGAAGGAAACTTCTGCTTGATGGTGTATGGTTCATCGTCGTCAAGCATGTGCTTTGTGAAGTCAAAGGCATGGCCATCTTTAGGTGATGCTGGCAATTCCCCAGACTTGTGGCGATCTCTGCTTCCACTTCCAGTATTCCCCATTGCACGTTATGCCTAAGCTACAGGATGGGCCAGGCCCAGTCCTCTGGTTTCTATAGGCTCCCAGAACAAGGAATGTCAACCTGAAACTGACATATTTTTTGGCTGAGGTATTGGATTTTACATGACTCATGTCTCAATCTAAGCGTTATTTGCTTGTATTTGAACGGCATTACCGTAGACTTATCCTGGTGAAAACCTAGGCCTAGTTTCCCCAATAAAATGGGAAGAACAGTTCTCAAAGATGGGCAACAACATGGTGTTACGGGCCTATCGTGTCATATAACCCTATGTGTATGATAGCTTCACCTCGGGCTCTGTGAATCTCCCGTGATGAAAATTTGACATGGGAGCACTGATTATGCATAGATTATTCTCACGGACTCACTGTAAGGGCTCAAATTTTCCAATTGGAGCAATCACCAATGACCTCGACTGCGCCATACTGCCCTATAGCCTATATATTTTCCCAAAAACGGACACCTGTCGGGATAGCCTCCGTACTAAAGCTGATCTTCCTTGTCACATAGATGACTCTAGTCTCAAATTCATTTCATTTTATCTCAGTTGTACCCAGACCAGTAGCATAGTAGGTAGGGGGTTCCAGCCCACTAACTCTGGTCTAAATGCATCTGCCACCCCACCTTCCTCCCTCAGCCGAGAAGTAAAAAAAATCCCAGCCCCCTTTTGGCGAAATCTTCGCTACGCCACTGAGCCAGACACCCAACAAAAACGAAGCCTGCAGTAAATCTCATGCCATCCTTCCAAAATATTTACGGAATCAACTTGGAAGAGTACGAAGTGATGCTGAAAATGAACGAAGGGTCTTCGAATCCACTTTACAGTTATAAGAATTCTGCATTACCCCCTGGGATTGGCCTCACGCTGTTAGTTGGCGGAGCCGTGGAGTCAGGAACTTGAACATTGATTCTCGAGAAGGTACTTCTGCCTCAACTCTTGAGATGACAATGGATCCATTGATCCACACTGTCGCTCCAACATTTTCGTCCAAGTCTCGTTTTATGAGCTTCATTCGAATTTTAAAGGATTCTTTATCGGCCTCAATTAGCAAGCCATCCCTTCATGCCCCCAAAATCAGCGAACGCATATGAAGACCATTAGTCCAAAGACCTCGGATAAAATGGCTGGTAAAATGGACCCCCCCCCCCCCCCTCCTCCAGTAACAAGGCAGGAAGGCTACCCGGCACGCGCCTGCAGTCTTGCGACACCACGACATCGAAAAAGCATGCCCTCCTCTTCAGGAGATCTCAAATACACGGACATCACAATCTGTTAAGGATGGAATGACGACGTTCACCTTTCTTCTCCCTGCGCCTCCGAAAAGTGTCTGCAAAGTTTTGTATCGGTGAATCAGGCTTAGCAGGTCGTTCTGGTTAGAGGTTACCGTAGCGAAAATTTACTTTTGCAAAATTTTCGCAAAGACGCTCTTCGAATATCATGGAAATATGTATGCGTTGCAGGCATTTACCGAATATAAGTTATGTGTTACTCTAAGCATTTATTTTTAGTTACTCAAGGAGGAACGCGTTGCATTTTTCCATTTAGTAAATAGTAATGGCATGTAATTCCTTTTTCTGCGAAACAGGAGCATTGCTCAAACGTGGGCAGGATGCGGGAGAATTAAATCCCGGCAAGACTGAGTTTCAGATCGTGCCATTTCCTCAAAAATTGAAGCTGTAAAGCTTGTAGTCCAGGGACCGTATTCACGAAACATTCTTACGAACTTATTTTTCGTAAGAAGAGAAAAGTTCGTAAGTGGTATTCATGAAACCTCTCCTGCCACGAAATTCTTACGAAGTTCGTAAGTGGTATTCATGAAACATTTTTGCGTAAGATGTTCGTACGATCTTCGTACGCAGTTCGTAAGAATGCTGACCCCCCCCCCCCCCCCCCCCGCTACTTTACGCAAATACAATACTTTTTTTGTACTTAACGTTTTTAATTTCCTTCGGGGGCCCTCTGGAAGAGTGGGGCCGGGGCAACTGCCCCCTTTGCCCCCCCCCCCCCCCCCCCCTTTATCTGGCCCTGGTTGTTCTAGGTGTTGAGGTCCAGACAATTCCTTAGTAATTTCTAGACCTGTACCCTTGTCTCTTCGTTGGCGCGGAACGCGAAGCAAGCCGTGTGGCATGGGGCTCTGTCCTGCATCAGCGCGGCCTTTTCTTTGTCTGAGTAGATCACCCAGATCTTCATGTAGCCCGTATATACAAGCAGGGTGTTTCCGGCTGACATAGCATGTAGCCAGGGGCGGACTGGCCATATGGCAGCTCTGGCAAATTCCAGAAAGGGGCCGGTTCCCTCTAGGGCCGATGGGCCTCATATACCCTATTAGTCTTATGCAACTAAATTTACAAGTGAACATGAAGTATATTGGGAATAGGCCCAACTGTTAAACAGTACATTATCAGGCGTTTCTAGTAGGCCTACCTATATTTTCAGTGAAATATCAGCATTGATAGGGCTATTCCCAGTCGGGCTGGCGATGGGCTCCCGACTCAGGGGCCGTATTCACGAAACATTCTTACGAACTTTTTCTTCGTAAGAAGAGAAAAGTTCGTAAGTGGTATTCATGAAACATTTTGCGTAAGATGTTCGTACGATCTTCGTACGCAGTTCGTAAGAATGCTGCTCACTTTTGGTATTCACGAAAGCGTAAAAGTTCGTATCTTTCTTCGTAAGTCTACGAATGGTCCCGAGATATCGTAAGTGGCCACAATAACGATGTCGAGGGAATCTGTGGAACTCTCTTTCATTGGGTGTCTCAATTAAGCTAAGATTCATTCACACAGGGCGGTTAACAGGATACATGCACACAGGATTCGCAAGATTTTTTCTCGGGGGTTATGAGGTTATTCACATTCATCCAGTGTCAGAAAATAAGACGAAATGCTCCAGCAAAACTCTTTTTCCGCTCAATTATTGAAAAATCTTTCGACAGAGATCGGACAGTGGGAAAGATCTACCGCCAGTCCTGCTACTCTCCCTGAGAAACTGAACTCCTTTCGCCTTTGCACGTCACTTCAGGTCCATGAATTAGATTTTACTTCTTTTTTTTTTTAGCAGTTCTCCGTAAAGAGGAGAGACAGCTCACTGCCTCAATCTCTAAATCCTACTCTTGCAATTTCATTTTTCCTACAACGCTTGAGCTGAGTTTCTTCAGCAAGACATTCTTCCTTCGCTCGACTCCTTCAATGAGAATCACATTTTTCTAACTGGTGAAATTCGGTCGTCGACCACTCTCTCCTCTACTCTCCATGATGCGAACGTTGATAATGCGTTCAGAACTTTTCATTAGGGTATTTCTGAAACCTTGATGTAGTTTTTATTACGTTGAGATTCACTGGGTACCGTCTTTTAGGGTGTTTTCGAAGATTCGACAGGATCTCCAGTCGTGTTAAAACTTCCTGTAAGCGCAAAAACAACGGCACGGAATGCGCAGAAAGTTTGCAGAAGGCTCCTATGATATGGGGACTCGTGAGTCATGCTGCCAGCGTGAGAACCACGTTGTTTTCTACTCAGCGATTGGTTTGGTAGCTCCCGAGCTCGGTTGTGATTGGCTGGCTCATTATCATTGCTACGAAGTTTCATGAATGCCAAAGATACGAAGTTCGTAAGAATATCGCATTCTTACGAAATTTTCATGAATACAGCCCCAGCAAACTAATCAAAAGAATCCTACACCCGACCATAACCAGCGACTAATGCTACTCCCTTTCCCCCGCAATAGCCTTGTTTCGACTCTGTTTGCTTAACGGTCAAAACGCAGTGTTTTACGGTGTTTACGGTTTTCGGTTACGGTCACGGTTTACTAGCTTTTCTTGTCCCACTTGGTCATGGCGAAACTCTGAGGATGTGTCTGCAGGTCTTCGCTTCGACTAAGGCCTACTTCTTGTTTTGATTTTCTTTTTCTTTTTATTATTTTTTTAACCTTCAATTGAAAGCAGCCTCATCCTACGAATCACCATAGAATAAGCGCTTCTCGTCTGCTTTCTTTCCCGAGGCAGAGGCTTTTGCGAAGAAGGCGCGAGGCAGGATTCTCTGAAAGGTGTAAGTACATAAGTACGAAATATGGGCCTAATCCCAAACTGGTGAAGGATGCGTAAACGATGGTCACGTATAACGCCCTTACTAACTCTCGAAGTCAGCGCCTTAAAAAACAATGAGCAGACTGGATGACAACTTCAACTAAAGTAAATGCGAGTAAAGACACAATACAGTCGCAGCCAAGGTTTCACGTGAAAACCGATTTGCTTCTTAACTGCCACCTTACAACCTTAACCGCCAACAACGAAGCATTCCAGATGGACGTTGCATGTGCCCCATTACTTACCTACTAAATAACAGGTGCAATTCGTCCGATATGTCCCCGAGTTGACTATTAAGTTAACAAAACACCCGTCGCCTCCGTAGTTTGTAAAATCTTCCTACTTGTTATTCATAAGAGCAACTTATTCGTAGGAGACAATTTAATGCATTTCAGATATGGTAAGACAAGATACAAAACTGTGCAAGGGAAATGGCAAGAGAAGAATACAGGGAGAAATGGGAAAGGCTACATGACCCTATGCAGAAGTGTTGTACAGGGTGGGCCAAAAAAAACGGACAGTTTTCAATGAAACGCTAAACTTCACTCACTCAATGCATACATTTTAATGCGGTTTGCGACATTTGAAAGAGGAATGACAAAGCTTTAACTTGATTTGCCTACATTTCAAATATGATCAACAGTTTCGGAAATTCTGAAGCTCATATGAACTACAAATACAAAGTGCGTCGTTTTTGTAGCAGTGGGGATGGACAGGCGGCGCCTGAAGGTCACATGCCGTCCGAGTCCGCGCCCGCGGCAACGCAGTTTTTGTTTTTTGTTCATATGAGCTCCCGAATTTCTAAAACTGTTGAATATATTTGAAATATAAGCAAACCATTTTAAAGCTTATGTATTCCTCTTTCAATTGCCACAAACCGCATTAAAATAAATTTAAATTAAATGAAATTGGGTGGGGAGAGAGAAAAAATCTTTGGTTTGTGTCCAGCAGGGGGTAGCGAAAAAACATGAGTGGAGCATAATAAAAGTGACGGGAT